AAATCCCCAGCGACGTATGCCCCCCATCAAACCCGCGTGGACGAAGCCACTTGGCCAGAATCGCGAGCGCCTCGCGTTAAATTCGCCTGCCGTGGGTGAGACTCGCCACGGCGACCTCCGCCCTTCGTTTTTCACTTTGCACTGAGCAGTCTCCCTTTTGAGGCGAATCAAAGGGCCTCAATCTGCCAATTGAATCGGCGTATTGCAGAACACTTTAATCACGTTAATCACCTCTATTAGTCAATTGGCTCAGAATTATAAAAGTGTATAATAATCCTCTGATCTCCTATTTCCAAATTTACATCCTATTTTCAGATGTTAGATTCAAAATAACTTTATATATTTTCAAGGTTAACTTTTACGAACAACTATTTGTTCAAGGCACCGGCAGAGATCATGAGCGTCCACTTTCATTTCCAGCCTCTGAGCAATGTATTTGTTTTATTTATCTACTTAGACCTTTGTTTCCCTCCCACTGTAAATTAAGTGACAATTGTAAAGTAAAGCTGCCCATGTGAACACGGTTTTTACGTGTGAGCACTTTGATTCATGATTTCAGACTGCGCGAGGCAGGGGGGGGCTTGATGCCGCCACCACTGTGTGAGATACACCCCACTTAATTAAACCTCTTGATCATTCTACCGCACGTGTCGGTGCCTGAGAAAGGTGGCCCTGGCACAATGGTGCAACGTCTGTGCCAGCCTGTGCCAGCCGCGCATTATTGAGGTATTAAGAAATAAGTGCCTTTGGGCATCATTATCCGTGGCCCTGTCACGAGGTAGCTGTTGCAGAGGAGCGTTCCGCCCACTTTTAAACCGGCGCAGCCTATCGGGCGCGCGTTGCTGTAGCGATGAACCCCGTGTCGCTAGGGTAAGAGACTCACGCTATTGGCTGGGAGGTTGGTGGTGGTGATATGGGTTTGGGTCGGGCCTTGTTTGTGACAGAGTGATATGAGCTGGTAATGTGAGTGCGGTATTAAGATGAAAGGTAGAGTTTTTTTTTTTAGTACTTGGAGACTAATTATTGCCATTTGGTGGATTTTTTTTTTCCTTCTGAGTAGCATTATTTAATCAGGTCCGAGTTTTAATCTTTGGGAGAATTCTACTCCCAAACTAGTGGATCGGTTTGTTGATTTTGATGAGCGGAATTTGGTGTCTGTCTCGTGGTGTCTTGCAGTCCTCTTATATCTGAAATGAAAATCTGCACTCTGTCGTGGAATACAACACAGGACATAAACATGCCTCGTGTGTTTGTTGTTTATACTGTGCTCACAACCCTGGACGCAGCTGATATGTACCAGTTTTTTTTTGTAATCTATATAGATTCCCCTTTGCCTGGTTGAAACTAAACATATAATTGTTTTCTAATTGAATTCTAAAAAGTACATAAAAGAAAATCAACACACCAGCACTATTGACAAAGATGCCTTGAAAGTTGTTTTTATTTACGCTCAATGATTTACTGCCACAATCCTCCGGATGGGTTTGATTTGGTTGCGCCATCCGTGCCATTTGGCACGATGTCCGACGTTTCGCTTCACTTGCTGGGAGCTTCTTCAGAAGGAAGAAGCGTGACTTGATAGATAAGATAAACACGGGGCGGGGGGGGGTTGGTGGAGTTGGTGGTGCATCGATTCACAGATTACCACTTCTCTTATGTCCGTGAGATGACGTCAACTAAGCGGCCCCGTTACCAGCACGTAGTCTGAAACGTCGGACGCTGCATGGTGTTCCGAGCGACACACCACGATGCGACCCAAAAGGCGGCAGGCGCACCGGAGTGCTCTACGCCGCAGCACAACGCGCGACAGACCCACGCAGTCGTAACAGCTCGCAAATGAGGATGAACGAAACGTAATAAAAATACGAATTGCATCCGTTCATAGCGAATGTTGTGAATGTGAGATTAGCGGCGAACCCATAAAGCACGGCAGTGGTTTAACAAGCAAATAGCAGGACGGGTTCTCACCAGTTCTCACCAGCTCGGTTGGTTGGCAGGGTTTAACGCGTGTGAGTAAGCACATTTTTAATCTTTAAATTACAATTACGCAAATGATGAATAAGTCGCAATTCTGGAATGTTTAGTCACCGGGGTGGCGGCGTTTGTGAGTTAAGGTTTTATATTTGTAGAGTTCTATTTCTGGCCCGCCTGAATAATTGCTCTGCTTCACATACGTGCAATGGAAAATAAATTAAATGTGTTCATTTACCCCACCAGCCAGGGCGTCGTGCTTATGCTGCTGCTGTTATTTGCGTGACTTCTTCTCTTTGTGTGTACATCAATGACACAGGTTCCCCAAATAGCCTCGAACAGATTTGGGTGAAGTGTTGTTCGCGAGCGCCTATTAAGGCCGGCACGGCACACGAAAGGCGGTGGGTGGACAGCACCACGCCCAGCCTCCTTTGCCTCCCGAGGGCTGATGTTTACACACCGCACCAGGTACTCATTTAATGCTGAGTTGACCTAGGGGAGGCCCGGGACCAGTAGAGATATTCGTCACTGATGTTGACCGTGAGCGGGGAATATTAAACTCGGGTCGCCGGGTTCATAGGGCAGTGCGCTAACTGCTGCGACACCGCTCCCCCCACCCGCCCCCAACACACACAGACGGAAAACCACAAAAAACCACGTTCTGCAACTTCTGTAGCTAAAGCAGCAGCAACAGCAGTGCAATCGACCCCTAGGCGAGACGTAATTACAATGAGGGATACGAATCCGTTGACGGTTACAATGAGTTTCAAACGGAAGTGAACTGAAACAGACGACTTCAGTGTGGTACAAAGCATATCTCCAAACGCCTCGGTGTTTGCCGCTCGAATGCTGTGTTCCGAGCTGTTCCGCATGTTTGTCCGGCGCGGCATCCGACGTTTCGCTGCACGTTTGGAGTGGGCCGTCGGAACCTCGTGCCCAACAACGCGCGGTGCAATCGGAAAACGGTGCAAGACTGTGACCCACCTCCGCAGTATCAACGGGGGTTTCCCTTGGCAAATGTAATATTGAGTGCGTTGTTTCACAGTTGCTCTTGCTTAGAGAAGCAATCATTCCCATGTAAAGCCATTCCAATCTCCGTTTGTGTAAAACTGTGACGCTTCAGATTCTCAACATATTCATTTGTAATTGGGGATCTTTCAACGTTTTTTGTAAAAAAAAAACAACATTTTTTTTGGTGAACCCAGGTCACTCTTGCAAATGAGACTCATACCCTGGCCTCTTGAGTTCGTTCGCCTGGTGAAGCAACCTGGATGCGTGTGACGCTACGGGAGGCACAGGAGAGCGCCCCACCGGGGGTGTCTCACCCCCGAGACGAACGACGGCCACGGCACGGGGCCCAAAAGCGAATCGCAGTCAGAAATTAGAATTCCAGAAATCGCGGCGCTATCATCATAATCGCGTTCAACCAAAACACCGTTACGTGCCAGGATTGCTTAGCGACGTGCACGTTTAGAACACGACGCGGCGGAGCTTCACAGATTACGATTTATGTACAGCCCCCCCCCCAACCCCCTCTCTGCCCCCATCGACTTCGTCCTGCCCCCCCCCCACTGTGTTTATCCTTCCTGTCATGCATCTCCTGTGCAGGGGCTGCTCGGTTACGAATTAAACGCGCTCTCGTTTAATTGCTGTGGGACGGGTCACGGCGTATCACGAGTGCGGTAATTAATTTTACTGAGCCCGAGCCCACGACCTGAGATAAGGCGCCGGCACGGCATCATGGGACCTTGAAAGGTGCCTTTGGCCTGACGTCACTCACGGCAACACATTTGAGAGTATCGGTTTGTTTTTAATATATATCGGTTCGGAGATTGGGGAGAAAAATATGAAGATGTATTTGCCTTTTTCTGCCTTCGCCTATTTTGTTACGTTCTTATTTGTGCCTAAAGATCCACGTCGCCCACGCCTCCCTGGAAAAATAAATGTGCCGTCTCGCCAGAGAGGTGGCAGCGGCGGCTTAGGGGAGGTCCCGCATCCAGCAGTGGATTGACCGCAGTTGATAATGATGACAATGATCTCACGAAGATTCAAACGGATTAACTTAAAATGCTCTTTGCAACTCTCGTCAATTGTTCACACCCATTCTTACCGGTTGTTTTAAATGCGTTGCAGAAGAAAAGTAATAATTGTCACACATTGCCAATCCACCGCTGGGTGAAGGCCTCCCTATGCCGTGTCGATCAAGGGGGTTGTATAACCCTGTGGCAACAAGATGCTGGCCAGTCCCGGTTCTATAATTATGCGCCACTGGTGTCAGCCGCGGCCGGGAAATAAAATTAAGTCACCGGGTTTATCGCGAAATGCGCGAATCACTGCTCCACCGCTCAACCGACACATCCTGCATTCGCTTGAAATGTTCGGCGTTTAAACAACTCGTCGATTGGTCAGTTAAAACAGATTCCTACGCTCACAATACACGTGCTGCGTGCAAGAGAATCAATTCGTTTAGATCCGTGTATGTTGTATGATGAGTATGTAATTTGTTTATGTGCCCTCTGCAGCCACTAGAGGTACTTACAGCAGCAGCACGTGTTTTTTCCCTGCATTATTTTCATTTTATCCGATCAGTTCCCAAATCGAACCCATGACTATCGGTGGAATAATCGGTTAGCTAAATAATCGGAGGGCCCAGCTTCTTCTTCTCTGTGGCCGACGCCGACGTAGAGCAACAGCAACACATTCACAGTGAGGTGGTTGAGCCAACGATCGTAGCGGGGAGTGGTGCATCGCTGCTGTGGTGTGTCTCCTTCGTGTTTCGCGAACCTGGCGTCGAGTCGTTACGTGTTCCCTTGAGCCCACCATCGAGGGGAATCGACGAATGCGCGGCCGTGCCATTGCCAATCGCTCGGACGTTGGGGTGCGGGGGACTGCTCGTTTCCCGCGCGTTCTCATCGAGCGTAGCGCAAGCAGCGAGCAAAGAGCCCAGGTTATTAATGACGACGGGGCAGACTGCGATGTTTTATTCGTTAATTGGAATCAACAGTTCTTTTGTTTTTCTCTCTTCTCAGCGACCTCCACGGGCACGGAGCAAGGGATAATGAACGGCGTCGGTGGGGTCTGTCAAAGCGACGGCATGAAGCTCATCATGAAGGTTGGCCAAGGTAATGCCCGCTCGCAATGCTCACCCACTCCTGCCATGCCCAACCACGTCCTCCTGTCATTCCGCCCAAACTAACACCAGGGCTGGCCAATGTCACCGACAGCCAGTCTCCGAGCGTTTTACCAAGAAACTTGTCTTCTCAGATACTTGAGGGATTTAAGTAACATATTTGTGCTTTTTTTTCGTGCAGCATTTCATACAGATGTAAAAACTACTTTGTTTCTACAAAAAATATTTTTTCTTAGATACTTGAGGGGCTTCAGTATACGTGCAAAATGTTTATTTTCTGTGTGACGGTTAATAGAGATGGAAAATAAACTAATTTGTAGGTTTTTATTCTGGCAAGTGGCACACTGTACCGTCCATCACGCCGGCTGAGCTCATTTTTCGTAAATTATTATTCCGTGCGAAACTGCGTTTGTCACAGAATTCTACTTTTATAATTGGTAGACAAAGCCTAAGCTAGATTAATAATTCCCTCGCTCATGGTGAAACCGCGTTAACCCTTCATTCACAACGTTCAAGTTGATTATTGTTGTTATTGTTGTTGTTATTGTTGTTATTGTTGTTATTGTTGTTATTGTTGTTGTTATTGTTATTGTTGTTATTGTTGTTGTTATTGTTGTCCCTCGCCGTGCAATCCCGCTGCTTCGTCTTCGTCTTCCATATATTGCGTTTTCAACAAAGCAGCCGGACAACAATTAATGTCGTAGCCATTCCACAGCGTCCAGGGTAGCTCGAGTGGGTTGTTGGGACTCCGTTCAGAGGGATCCTCACAGTCGTTTGGGCAGAGAGAAACCAGGCTGTTCCTTCGTCGGGATGTGGGTAGACTTCATGACCAGGGTTTATTCCCCAACAGATTCAAACCTAATGCCTTGCGTGACGATCCACGCTTTTTAAGACGGTGGAACCGAATCCCCCTTCACGCAGTGCTTGTCATTGGGCAACTTCACTTCTCATCCCGTGCAGGGTTTCGCTCAATCAGCAGTAATTTCCCGCCATCATTAGCAGGTGCGGCTAAAGCCAGGGTCACAAAGATCAGTCGGTTTTTTTCCCGACTCGGAGGCCCGCTTGCACTCTCGGGGTCGGTCGCTTTGCAGCGTTGCCCCTGAAGAAGAAGATTATTGACAGCTCATTGCAAGCTCCGCATGGAGGCCCAGGCAGCTAGACTCGTATCGCACGACCATCCTAGAGATGGGAATTTTGGCTCGGCGGATTTTCCACAGATAGACGCTTGAGTTAGTAAGTGGGTGTGTAGGTGGGTGGATTTCTGGGTGAGATACAGAGTGGGTCGGTGTCTGGGAAGGGCTGTTAAGAAAAGTGAGCACCACATTTTTATTTATTTAAAGCAGGTTCTGCGGGCGGGGACGGAAGATTAAACGTTCCCCTTCAAAAGCCACGAAAAATTCAGCTCGGCGATCCAGTTCAATAAATCGGCGGCCGCGCTCTGATGTAGCAAATGTGTGGCGATGAATTCTGCTCGTGCTGCATCAAGAGCCGGGCAGCATTCGTCCAGCAAGCCCCGTATTCGCGGAGAGAGAGAGAGAGAAAGATTACCGCTCGTACGTAATCGCCTCGCTTCCGCCGTGGTGACGGATCCTAATGGACTACGGGCTCGCTCGCTTGCTCGCTCGCTCGCTCGCTTGTTCTTAGCGCTATTTTATCAAAACCCAACGCAGGCAATGCACCATTTATTTGCAAGGTTTACCAAAATTGCCATTCACACAAATCACTTGCTCTACCTGTGCCCAGCATTCAACATGAAAAATGCGATTAGCATTTATTACATCTGAAGGACCTGTTAAAAGAGAGCTTGTGAAATGCGTGTAATTTCCATTTTGTAATTTCATTATCAAATAATACACAATATACGTAAAAAAACACATCTTTTCTAGTAATTTCTGTTGGGGTTTTCTTTTGCCGTCCACTTAACGATGAAGGTGACTGGCATACGACCCACAAGCGTTGTGTGCAAGCGTGCAAGCTTTCGAAAAATTATTAGCGAAATCAATTCGGACGGGTAGAACGGTGTTGCTCTGAATTTCACCCACTGTCTTGATGGCTCTCAAAAGAAGTCGCAAAATCTTGGGGCATCAACGCACACAACCGTCTGACGTGAAGTGCAACGTCACTCATTCTTCTCTGCTGCCCCCATCGTCCTGGACTTCCTCCAGCTGTCTGTGTTATCTCCACACTCTGCCCCTTGTTCAAGTCCAGGCTCTCAAGGCCTTCCCTTTTACACTTGCCTATGACTGCCTCCTGCCCATCTATAAACTAAACATGTCCACTCTTTCTGTCTCTACGGGATCTTGTCGTCACATTTGGAAGCTATATAAAGCCACATTATATTATTTTGATTCGCGTAGAACCCCATAGTCTCACATCGAGGCCCATGCTCTCACACACAGACATATGACAAACGGTTTATCCCTGTTTAAATAAGCCCAATCACGATTGGTACACAGCATCTTGAGATGTGGTCACATGTATACGGTATATAGATCCACATTGTGGGCTGGTGCTCGATTGTTGCTGTTGTATAGCTCTCGGGTTAATGGGCATGATGTTCGTGTGCTTGGGAGCACCTGCGGTGCAGCGAAACGTCGGACATCCTGCCCAACAACACGCAGTACAACCCTGAAAATGCATCGGAGAACCCCACATCGTACGGTATAATGGTACTGAGTACTGCGCAGTAATCATAACAATAATGTAAATTATTTAAAGGGCACCCCCCCCTCCCTCCCACCAGCGACAGCTGTCCTTGTGCGGGGCAAGGTGACTCAGCATCTGGCCTGCACAGGGACATTAGGTCTGCCAGCGGGCAGTGACGATTGCCATGCGTAATCTCAATCGAGTATACTACTCGAACTTGGCCAATATTGGACCGTGACGCCGGCACACAGTGGGCTCGCTCATTTTGAATCACGTCACAGGGATCTTTAATGCCCACGGTGAAGCAGACGGCACGGAGTATTATTACGCTGAATACACGCCCCGCAGTATTAACCGGGGCGGCCTGCCCGACTGCACTGCCGGGCCCCGTCAATCCCGACCCCCCCCCCCCCCACCCCGAGATGCGTGGGAGTGGCGATGGCGGCGGCATGCGTAAGAGGGACGCGTGTTTTGTGCTTTCAGACCCCAAAAGGAAGGAGGAGACCTCGCCCGTCAACCCGTCTCCGTCTCCCACGAGAGCGCGGGCGGCCCCCCCCGTGGCCCCCGGAGACGACAGGAGGTCGACCGACCGCACCACCCGCACAGGTGAGCGAAAGCTCCCTTACGTCACCCGGGGTCCACACCCAGCTTCCCACCGGGATTCTCCTCTTGGGGAGCCTCTACTGGGGTCCCCAATTGCTGTGTTGGGTGGTGGAGGGTGTTGATGACACAAACTTGGCCAGATCGTTACGTTGACTAACTCACAAATAGATCGTGAATCGTTCCAATTAATTTGTTTTAATTATGGCGACGCTGTAATCACAGCTGTATTATTTATTAACCTTATTTTATTTTCATAAAGCGCCTTTGTTCAAGATAATTATATTCATCAATTGGTCACAGTTATTTATTTATTTAAAAGATTACGCTGTCGAAACGTGTTTACCCGAGTCAAGTCAACTGCTTCAAGGGAGTTTTGATTGGAACAGTGTGAGCTGATCTGCTCTGTAACTTTTGGGGAAAAAGTTAACAGCCCAAACGCCATTTCAGATAGCTTTAATTAATACTCGGTCTTAGCAAACACTTGGAAACTATTCTATGGGATAATGTCAATTTGTTTGTTTCGCTATTGCAGCACCAGTAGCAGAGATACAAATGCATTAACCCCTAAAAAAGAAGCATTCAACTCTAACCGAGGCAGATAATTAATTGAATCGTAAATTATTTACGGACGTGGTGGTGTTTTGCAGTAGCTAGCACACTGCCCTGTGAACCCGGCCAAATGAGTGTTATTCCTGGTCAAAGCTAAGATTTGTGGTGGGTGGTACGAGAGCCAATCTTGGCCTGAACTCACCTGCGCTGACTAGTGCTGCTGTGGAGGATGGTCGAACAACCCCCACGATCTGTACCGTGCAGGGATGCCTTTGTCCAGCGGCGGCATTGCAAAAAGGGCTGCAGATGATGGTATTATTATTAATTTCTACCAAGAGTATTTGAGCTATGAATGAAGATGCATCGTGAGCGTAATTGACTTGCTTGTCAGTGTTCCTTTTGAGGTAACGCTGTTTCCCAGATGCAACACAACTGCGACCATTGCACCTCAACTTCACCTTATGTTTGCATCTCTACAATAGCCATTGCCTTCGATCACATTGAGTACGCTATTACATTTTTAAGCTACTCATTTATAAATGTATGGACGGCAGAGTCTTCCTTTGGTATATTCTGTTCACATTTCACTTTTTTTCCTTACTCGTTGGCGTTTGCACTCCTTCAAATTAATGTTCCATCCAAAATTTAGAAAAACCTGTTCTATTCTGCTACTCCTTATACATTTATTAACACGGTAGAGATCATGCATTATACAGATATCATCACATGGTGGCCCCTTACTGAAATTTATTTCATATAACAAAAAGCAAAGGTCCCCCTGTGTATACCCTACACGGACTGTTGGTGCAAGTGCTGTTAGCGAGTAGCACCTATGATGGCCGCCGGCACAACACACGAGGGGCTGGCTGGCCAACAGCAGGCGCAGCCACCTTTGACTCCCTACGCCTGATGTTTATACATCACACCAAGTACTCATTTAAGGCTGAGTAGACCTATGGAGGGCCCAGGACCAGTTCTGATATTCGCTACCGATGTTGGTCGTGAGCGGGAATTGAACCTGGGTCGCCGGGTTCGTCGCGCAGTATGCTAACCACAACACTCCCGTCCGTGCAATACATATAAACTGTACATGCATTTATTATTTTTTACTTCCCTTTGTGTTAAATTTATCCCACTTGTGCTATCGGCACCATGTAATGAGATTAATCAATTTTGAACCCCTTGCAGAAGCAGTGTTAGATAACAGTCCGCGAAAGTAGATATAATAGAACTACTTCTGAGACCCCTTAATGTGATCTATTATCTATGCTTTGTGTCCAGGACTTTCCCACACAATAGTGTGATGATCAAACCGATTTGTTTTTGTTATACCCAGAGCTGGAATTCAGCCAAATTATGTGACAAACTAAAATGTAATATGATGGGGTTTTTTGTGCAGTCATTGCTAGCCAGGCCGATTGGAGGTACTTCAAGTGTAATTCATAATAAAGGATGTAATTGTCACAATTTATTATGTGATTTGTTTCCCTGGTTTGGGTGCAATTTATACGAAATAGTTTTCTCAAAATCACCCCACGTGTATATATATATTTTTTTTATCATCTTGTCTCTTTTATGCGCCATTGATTGAAAGTATATATATTTATATAGTCTTCAACACGCTCGTTAATTTTTTCGCAATAATATTGCAACTTGACAGCGCCGCGTGTCAAAGCTTGTGAACAGTTTATTTGAGAAGAGTCCTGTCTTTGATTGGTTCACACACCAACACGACACCACACAATTGCCTTGTTGGCGAGAGCGTGAGACTGAGGGCAAAAGAGCGAGAGCAAGAGAGAGAGGGAAGGGAACAGGGTTGGTTCAATTGTCCCGTTGTGCACGAGTGAGATTTTCCAAATGAATTCAGATTTGCTTTTATGAATGTTTTACGGCATTGTCAGTTAGGATGCCAAGGGTTTCACGAAATATTTTTCAAAATTTAAAACAGCGTATGCCATAATAATAATAAAAAAATAAACAAAAGACATGTACATGCTCATGTGTATTGGACGATAAGTCCTTCAATTTAAAATTGATGGGGTTTTGAAAAATACATCATGTCCTACCAGCATGCAGTTTCATCAACTTTTAAACATTTCATATTGCCCCCCCCCCCCCCAATTGCGGTTAGTTTCCCATATAATTAAGGGCTCAAAACTGACAAGCTTGTTTTTATTTTTAATGACTTCCAAGGGGAAGCAGTCAACATCGTCTCGTCTGCATTTACAGACTCCTTCAACCCAGCACGCGACACACGCCTATGCGAGTCACTTATAAGCAGCTTTAATTTACACGAATTACGCCAAAGCAGACGCCTTTATGGCCTAATTTGAATAAGTTATTTTCCAGCAGGTATGATCACCAAATTCGAGTCGGTCATAAAATGAAATAAAATCACCCCTTTGTTTTAATGAGTAGGCGGAGATCTTGACAAGTTGTTAGTCTTGCCGCCAACGATCCGAGCGTCACTGCAGGCGATAAATGCTCGTGTCCTCCCGTGTGCGCAGACTCGTTGTCGTCGTTTCTTCCGTTCCGTCGTCACCTGCCCATCTCTCTCGTCGGTTTTGTTTAGCGTGGGGCAAATTAGTTTGAGTGTGTGGGGGGGGGGGGGGGTTATTTGACGTCCGCATCCTCACCTGAAAACCGCTGGCGGCAATTCTCGCGATGGTCGGGGTTCGTCTCGTTCATTTTGATTTTTCCGGCGCTCGCGCTGCTTTTACGGCCGTAATTGGGTGGGGTGCGTTTGCGTAAATTACCACGGCAAAATGAGCAATGGCTCTGCGGTCGGTGGCTCCGCGGCACCGAAAATAGCTGCGGAGTAAGCGGCGAATGTCGGCAAAAACCGCTGGGGCCTGATGAAGGAGTTAACATGTAAAGTGCGCAAATTTGTATAATGGGCAAAAAATTACCGCCTGACGCTTATTCTCAAGAGTCTTGTGAAAGCAGCCTTCGTGACCTTGTAAACAGCGCTTTGCGAGCCCGGTGTATGCTCAGCGATCTGTTTCATTAGAGGGTGCGTGGATGTGCAGCATGGCCTGCTGTCCGTGCCTTGTGTGTGTGTGTATAAAAACCGGGCGCCTCTAATTTGGTGGCAGGGCGCCTCAGAGACTGTACCGTGAACCCTTGTGCTGGATGGGCTCTGGATCACCGCCAGGGGCTGTCGTAAAATCTTGCCACGTCAGCGCCTGCACAGCCACTAGCCCAGCCATTCCTTAGTTGGCCACGATTCGGATCTTCAGGCCCCACCAATCAAAGGGTGACCCCCAACTAGGCATAGCGAGCACGTGAGGATATTCTTTGCGGAGTGGGGAGGGGGAAAAATAATTTTTTGGGAGGGGGGGTTAAAATATTTATTTTATAATGAATGAAATCATATAAAACGCACGTGTATATGTATTTTATGTCCGAAAACAAGAGAGCGGAAGGTTATCACTTGTTCAAGCCCCCAGGTTCCTCGGTTGTGTCAGTTTACCATCATGGGCTGTGATCGTGGTAAACTTATACACTCTCCAATTTTTTGCATGTCGATTGGCTAATTTAATTTCATTTGCACGGGTTTGCTGATTCTGTCAGTCCCTCTGGAATGCAAGAGCTGCTAAATAGGTCTGAGGGGGCTAGGCACTTAGCCCTCACCCACGCTACAATTGGATGCGCTGTGACTCTTCACCGGGTAATAAATGATCTCCCCTCAGTTTACACGCGTGCCACTGGACGGGAGGTGGCAGGCAGGGTTTGTGCGATGCCACATCGGCAAACGACGTGGCTACAGGAGGCTTTTCCTGCCATTTACAACAGGGTGAAGGAGGCACGTGAATATGGCCTGGTGTTTCAAATTCTTACAATGGATGGACATGTTCCATTAGGGAGGGGTGTGTGGGGGGGGCAATAGGAGACTTTGAATGTCAACGGGCTTTGCCGCTAGCTTATTAAATAAAAACAGCAATAAGGCATGACGAATATTGGGCGAAATGAAAAGTTTCTAAAACTACAAACAAAATGAAATAACCTTGCCGTGGTCATATCCTTTGTTTGCTTGACAAAGAGTTGTATTTATGTATGCGAGGATATAGGTTATTATTAACGGGGAAATTAATTTGTAACAATATTGCAAACAAGTACAGATAGTCTGTTCGTGTCGTTAGTTTATTAAAAAAAAGTGAGAGTCATATATATTTTTGTAAGACTGGTTGTCCGTTTGACAAATGGGTCTATCCTATGCTAATATGACATGTATGGCAGAGCCTTAAACTCTGACCCTATGTACACAGTTTGCATTTAATTTTGTTTGTGCAAGTGTTTTGCTTGCATACTCAAGATTAAATGTTTGACCATATAGCCATTGTGGTGTTTTCTTTGCAGTTATTTTCTGCGATATTTTCCTCGAATTCTGTTTCAGTTGTACGATTTCAATTCATAAGGTCAAGAAATTTCCGTATAGACAATCAGGAGCTAACAGTGCATCAATCAGTGTCAGAGAACAAAGCTGTAAGTTGACGTTGTAGAACTACTTCTGAAGCCACTGGGGAAAATCTCTTCATGACCTGTAAAGAGTGTTCATCACACGCCAATAAAATTAACAACTGTCAGTCTTCCGGCTGGAATGAGGCCAATGTTTTTATTTTTTATTTTTTGAATGAAGATCTTTTTCAAAGTTTTTTTGTGACTGGGGTGTCAAGATCAATTTGTTCCACTTGAGAACCCCAAGGGCAGCAGAAACCTGGCATCGAACCTTGGTGCTTTAGTGGTGCCAGCTCAGTGCTCTGACCCCTGAGCCTCCCAGCCACCGCAGCTAATCTTAATTCAAGAATTTCTGTTGCTTTCGTTTAGAAACGTTCATGTTTTCATGTTCTCTGCAATTGTATCCATATCTTTGGATCATATTCACGTTTCCTAGCATAAAACGGATTTGCTTTTGTGCAATCGGAAATGTCTTTGCGTCATAATAGCGCCTTTTCGCAACGTGATAACGTTCCTTGCTCATTCACGACGACGTTGGCAACGCGTCAGTGCGCTTCTCTCGCGCGTGCGCTCTCTCCCGAACGTTTCGCTCACGGTTTCGCGCCTTCCCCTCCCAGACCCGTCTGACTCCCTGCACGAGCTGCACCAGTCCGGCATGGAGTCCAACCTGGCTCTCATCGTCGGCGTGTCGAGCGGCTCCCTCATCCTGCTGCTCCTGCTGCTGCTCCTCGCCCTCTCCGTCTGCTACGTCCGGCGCAGCCGCGAGTCCCGCCGTTGGGGCCGAGGCGGCGGCGGCGGCGGCGGCGGCGGCGGCGGTTCCGGGGGGCCCGGCCCCGGCGGGCCGGGCCGCCGGGGTCCGCACGCGAACGTGTTGGCGGCGGCGTCGGCGCCGCCCCCGCAGTCGTCGCTGCCGCTGTCGCTCACGCCCGGCTCCGTGACCGTGAAACTGGGGGGCGGGGGCGGAGGGGGCAACAACAACGGCTCAGACCCCAGCGACGTGGTGATTCCGCTGCGGACGCTCGAGGGCGGATTCTGCCCGCACTACGAGAAAGTGAGCGGGGACTACGGCCACCCGGTGTACATCGTGCAGGAAGTGCCACCACCCAGCAACGCGAACGTCTACTACAAGGTGTGAGCGCCGCTGCCGATCGGACCCTGGGCACGGACGCTGGGTTTCCGCATCGCAAAAGCTTTGCTTTTGTGTTTTTAATAGGTTTATTTTATTTTCGGGTTGTTCTTTTTGTCGTTCTATATTTTTTTCTTTTTACGACTCGATGGACGCCGCCGTCCCCGTTCCACCGCGAAGGTGAAGCCGCAAGGGAGGACCACTTCCGCCGATGACGTTTACTTGCGCCATATTGGACGCGTGAAAACGCTTGCGGGAGGAAGTCCTGCGGAGAACTCTGCCACCTCTCGTCGTCGGAATAAAACGGCAAGCGACTGTTTGCGACCCTCACCCCCCCCCCCCCCGCCACCCCCTACGTCCGCCACCTCGTGCCATCGCGCTCCACAAGTTTTACCGTGAGGCTCTCAACGGTGGCTTCCTCCGTCACACCCGTGCAGGATGGTGACCTCTGCCGGAGACCTGTGCTTTGGTTCACACGATTTTGCCAAGCCATACAAAAGGGGTCTAATAGCAGAGGACACGTTGTTGTTGTTGTCGCCTGCGTTGTGGTCATCGCAAGGCAAGCATATGACAAAAATAAAATATAATTCTTAAATGCCATCCAAATTCTAATTCTACATTCTTCTAAGCAAGATGACCTTTTGCAGTAGTGGCAACATTTCAATAAAGGTGGTATGCATGGGGTTGTTTTTTTTTCTTTCTTGCTGTTGGTGAAGGTTATTATGTTCGAAAATAACCTGCACTATCTAGCTACTGCCCTGCTTTTTGAGTAACAAGTTACATTACAAAAAAAATATTTTTGTGATGCTGTGCTTAATGAGTTTTAAGAGCTGCTTCAAACACTGGCTTTTCCAGACTTGTAGGCATGTGCCCATCACTGCAGATTGCCTCTGATCTATCAGAGCTATTCATTGGCGTATTTTTTTTTTATTTTATTTTAATTTTGCATTTTTAGATCTTACATTTGTTTTCGTTATTATGCATTCTGTGAGTAAATAAATACTTTTGGGGATACTTAAAAAAAAAGAAGCATACATGCAAGACCCGCTGTGGGGCTTTTTTTCCTCTCTAACAAAAACATTTTTGTCATTTTTCATTTATCATTTCATTTCACGGTACACTTTCAACCGTGCTCCGTGTGAGAGAACCCGCGAAGGCATCTGCTATAAACCTCTGTGCACCATATTTGCGCGCCCTTCATAATCTCCTCGCCGTTCTGGGGTGCTTGGCGCGCGGAGCCACAATTTTAAACCTTTCTGACTAAATGTCCACTGGACAGTTGCTCCCGCTGAAGCGGATATCGGTGACTGGTAGGTTTGCATGAAATGCTTTTTGCAGTTTTTAGTCTCAGGAGTCAGAAAACTTGAACGCTTTTTTTCTTCTTCTCTTCATTTTGGGTCAAAGTACAATGCTACTACTCGAATTTTAAAAGACGATCTTTGGGAGTTTTTTTAATTGTTGCTTTTTAATGATCATAAATTCATTTCGCGAAATGCGGGATTGTGAAATCAATTTTGCAGACGCACCACGCATATACACTTGCACTAACACGCACGCGGATCACTAATGTTTGACTGAATATGAAACTTTTTTTAAAATAGCAATGTACCACTTCTGTAACTATCATTGTACGTATGCAAATACAGGACTTTACAAAAAGCTGAGGTTCATAGTTTCCTGACGGTGCTTTGAGCTAAATTGAACCATAATTAAGAAATTAGTTCAGCATCAAAATATAATTTATTTCTACATTTTATCGCAATTTAATTAAGATCGGGATTTTACGTTGATTGTAATTCGCACCGACATCTGTTTTCAGCCCAATAGGGTAATATCAAAATCCGTGGAGATCTATGGACAGGGACCGGCAACCACAATAACAAGAAGAACCATCGTTATCGAATTCGGTGAAAAATACTCAATGTTTCAAGAGACGCAAAACGTGTGAATATGGGAGACGGTGGTTCCTTAATAAAATAACGTGTCACGATGCAGTCCTTTAAAGAGCTGCGTGCCGCAGTTTGCCGACCGCTGCCCGCGCAGGGCTAAGTAGGGCTGGTCGTTTTTTTCCTGAAGTCACGAAACTCACTCGCTTTTCCCTCGACTCTGCCCAGTCCGGCTGTCGTTAACTCAAGGCGCCGCGTGACCGTTATGACACCAACGGCAAAAGCACTTGCTTCCATGTTGACCGCAGAAGTTCCGGGGTTGGCCGTGGCAATCGCAACTGTTGACTCGACACCGAGGTGGGATTTCGGTTCACCAGACTTGCTCGGCTGCCCATGTAAACTTCCGCGTCGTCGTCCCCATATCTCCCCCCCCCCCCCCCTTTACTGAACCAACACGCTCACGATCCAGACTGTGTCAGCAGATCTCCGCAAAGCGTGCTCGCCCCCACGTCCACAATGGCAAATGGGCCCCGGGCGATAAACGCTTCCATGCGGGTGGCGCGTATGCCCCTGTAATAGATGGGGCCTTGTTAAAACACCAATTGACAAGGACATCTCGCGGTGTTTAATTTGAAGAAGACGAGAAAAAAGTTATAATTAAAGCCCGCAGTTAATTAAAAATGATCACGCAAACTGCACACAAAGTTCAGGGATTAATTAAGACTCTGATTGATAAGCCAACCATGCTTTCTCTCCGTCTGTCTCCCGTGTGACACGGTTCGCTCGACACATTTTTTTGTTATCGCCGCCGCCGCCGCCACCAACCGCACCGTCCCTGCGTAAATAATGAAGTGGGCAAACAGCGGGCATGAAAACGGGCGCGCTTAATACCACATTAGCCATCGTGGCATTAGTGGAAAATCCTTTGTGCATTGAACTGCTAAATGATCCGGAGAGCTTGGAGGTTGGCGCGCTTGTAAATGCCGTCGTTAGAGTAATGCAAATATCCATTAAAGAGTTCGCCACGTCCCGTTATTGAAAGGCGACCTTTCCTTTCCTAACGAGTAGTGGCTCTGTCAGAGGTGGTAACTATTGGGGTGAGGGGGGGGGGGGTAATAGAATGAGACGAGAGCTCACGGAGGAGTAAAGTTTCCGTTTGAACGATTCCAAATAAAGAAGGAGCATGTAATTTGAAGCGTGCCTCTTGCTGTTGGCATGATTTATATTAGCGGTGTTGATGCAGTCACAACATACTCAGCTCCGTGTGAAAGTTGTAACAATAACAACAAACTTATTAAGTGATAATGTTGTAATACATGAAATTACTATTAATAATACAAAAACTCACATCAGGGATTACCAATTTGTGGGGCCAAAACTACGGAAATAATTATAAACAAAATAACTATAAACGAATGCAGTATTTTCTTGCAGCTGTTAGTCATGCCTTCCTTCACCGCAAACCGTTTCCCGTTTAATAAAAACTAATTTAAGGAGTTTGTGCTGATGTTTTTAAATATAATACAGTACAACTGTGTAGCCTTGGAGAAATCCACAGAAAAACACTTTAAGATTCATCCTAATAATAAAACCCGAAGGCGAATCACAAAAACAACCCATCATGGCGGAAATTGTAGGGGTTTAGTCTTTTTTTTTAGCTCAATCAAAATCCTCAAGTCGCAAGCAGATTCCATCAGTTTTCAATGAAGCAACCGCTCAGATTTTTCCATCAGATGTAACATTCGGGAGTTGCTTCAGACAATTGTCGATTCATTCATTCACTTCGTGGCACTGTTATTGCCACGTTTTTATTGCTGGGTCGACTGAAAGTCCTGTCACAGAGGGCAGACGCGCACATTCCCCGTTTGTCTCGCACTTGTCTTATTTAAAAAAAAGATGTCGTTAAATCGATAAATTCCGAAAGCATTGCACGTCAGTAATACAAATCTGCTTGAGATGTTACATGCGCAGAAAAATTACTCGAACGTCAAACTTGCTTACGTCCACCATATTTAGCTTAATTACCCCAAGACCAGCCGAAAAAAAAATTGGTCCAAGTTTATTTTAATAAGTTGCAACTTATTATAAAAGTCACGTGGGTGCCAATTATAATATTGTAGCCTAATTGAACTTCAGCTTCTGGGAGGGTCTTAATTTTGTTACGCGCCGTTAGAGAGTCTGGCCGCAACGAACGCGTACTGCTGCTATTTAGGAAGCCGTGGTGTTCCAGGGTTTCTGGCGCTAAGTCCGAACGTCGTTTTTGGAGCATATTCAGCTGGCCGGCGCCGAGCGTGTGATGAGTTCCTCAGCTGTGCAAGATTTTGGGCTTTCGGGAAAGCGATTACAGTGAACGTGCGGCGGTGGCGGCGGCGTAAATTGTTTAAGTTCTCGTAGTCAAGGCAGGCGCAGAGGACTTGAGGAATTTGCAGAGCTTTGGACGACAGATGTAAAAAAGAAGAAAAGGCAAGAGGGCCTATTTAGCCCGCATTCTTTCCCTAATCCCCAGAGCAAGCCTTCGGATCAGTTGGTCCGCACATTCAATGTCCTCCAACGGTAGCTGCCGTCTCATTAGTCTGAGCTGTGTCAAAGTGTGTCCATGTCTGACCAGCGTGACCCCACTCCCACCACTCTCCCCACCACCACCCACCACCACCCACCACCACCCAACCCCACCACCACCCACCACCACCCAACCCCACCGAGCAAATGTGTATTTTTCCATCCCCCCCCCCCCACATTACATATATGTTTATCTTCCTTTTTTTCATGAGAAAATGAAGATAATTTGTGTAACATTAAAGGCAAGGGTGTGTTTATTGCCATGACAGCTGGCGTCTATTATAGAGACCAAAAGGAGAAAAGGCTGTTGTGAAGTGGGTGATGTGCTTGGAAAACGTTAGACTTTTGAATAAGAGAACTTGGGTGACAACCGTAGCGAGGATTGCATCTGGGAGGACTCTTTCTCTTCTAAAACAATGCACCGGCCAGAATTTAAAGCAGGGGCTATGTCAAGTCCACTCTGCAAGAGGGTCACAATGGTGAATAAAGCAGCGTTGGGATATAAGCGGTGGGACGTGACTCTTCACGCAGTAAAAAAAAAATGTAAATGCAATATACAAAAAAACCACAGGATAAAATCCCCTTTCTGCTCGTAGTTTGGACATTGGTCCTTTGAGAAACACGAGAGACGGGGATTTTTACATCACAGCCACGTGATACTTGAGTTTGAAGCACGGCAGTTGTAACCCTCTATTTATGGATAGAGATGGCTGCCTTTGAATTACAAATGGGGGAGATGGGGGGGGGGGGGTTGTGGTGCGGCCCTTAACAAGCCCTGGTGGTTGACACTAAATCCTGGGAGATCTGAAAATGCTTGTATCTTCAAACCGATTGTTGTCGTCGGCATCTCGGATAATTCGCCTCGCAAGCGTCTGCAAGCGCAGTGCGCTGGTGCTTTGCTCATCGAGTGTCAGCTGGAATCCAACCATCACCGCGTTATTGGTGTGCGCGCGCTGGCAATTTGCAGAGCTCTCGAGAAAGCAAGAAATAATGTAAAATGTCACGGCTTATCCCCACAGTGCAATCAATGTCACATATGATGGCACTTCAGGCGGAGTTATTTCATTATTTATTTTATTACTTTCATATATTTTTTTGGGTGTTTTGGGCCGGGGAAGGGAGGGGCAAATGGGAGAGGTGCGGTTAATGTGCATTTGCAGGAGAGGGGGGAAAATAACAACGCAGACCCTTCACGGTCTTTTTATTTTTACGTTGAGAACACACAGAAGGGGTCTTCTTTCTGGTCTCATTCATCCTGTGCCTCAGTGGAGGACGGCGGGCAGTAAAATGTGTCGCGCGTGCGTGCACCACGTGCGGATGGACGGACTGAGCGCGCTTGCAAATTCAGCACGATTATGCTCCAGTAGTCAGCGTGACATCACAACTGAAGCTTTACCCAATTCATCTCACTGTGAATTCAAAGCACGGCACGGGGCATAAAGCGATTACCATTAGTTCCAAACACGGGGGTTCATTTTAAATCATGATGAACACATTGCGAAAAGAACAAAGGAGACACTTGATGTTTCATTCTGACAATGCCTGGGATGTAAAAAAAAAGTCGAGCACAAAGAGATTGCCTCGGTACCGAATTCCACTTCGTGTGTCTCGTAGAATGTGCGCAGTGAAGTCATACTGGGGATTTGTATTGTTTTAGCTGAGCACATGACAGTGCAATTTTGACTGCTTTTTCACGGGAGAAAGTAAATAACTAAATCAATGTTTCGTGGTTCTGCCGTTGCTCGAAGACGTGTGACATCGAGCGCCAAGACGCCCTTGACTGACGCCATGGAGAGCGACGCACGTTCATGTAATGATTCATATTAAATTCGTGCACTTTTAATAGTTTAGCTTGCGGAGGGAAATTGTAAGCCGCGCATCTTTCAAGTCATAATAACAACGCCCAATTGAGAGGCTTGACAAGCCATGGGGCATGGCTTCCGGCGTCTGTGACTTTGTGTGGCTTTTACAACCGCGATGTCCACGCAACGCTTTCACGTCGACATTAAGACCGGTTGTTAAACACATTTACGCGTCAATTTAATTTGTAACCGCGCATGAGATTAATTTGGACGATTAACAATTTTTGTTTCACATTTTGAGTTGTCTTTTGCTTTCACACATATTGGCTACCCTTACACAGAAATT